TATTCTAAATTTAGAATAGATTTATATTATGACATTTCATTACATCATCCTGCGTGGCTGGCTGGCTGGCCGGCGCAAAGACAAACCGCTCTTCTCATCCCAGCCAGCCAGCCACCCGACCTGCTCCCAAGAATGTCAGTGGGGACGGAGGAGGTGAGGGGCGAGGCGGCAGAGCGCGGCAGCGGCGAGAAAAAAAAATATTTAAAACTCTTTCCTTTCTCTCAGGAGACTGGGGAGGCTCTGCCTCCCTTGCCTCTAGTGACTGCACGTCCCTGCATAAACCTGATGTTGATTATTTTTTGCCCCTTCTTACAAGATTCATCCAAGCTTTGTATAAAAGGTAAAGGTTCTCCTTGCACATATGTGCTAGTCGCTCCCAACACTAGGGGGTGGTGCTCATCTCCGTTTCAAAGCCAAAGAGCCAGTGCTGTCCAAAGAAGTCTCTGTGGTCATGTGGCCGGCATGACTAAATGCCAAAGGCGCATGGGACACTGTTACCTTCCCACCAAAGGTGGTAACTATTTTTATACTTGCATTTTTACATGCTTTCAAACTGCTAGGTTGGCAGAAGCTGGGACACATAATGGGAGCTCACTCCGTTACACAACACTAGGAATTCAAACCGCTGAACTGCCGACCTTTCTGATCGACCAGCTCAACATCTTAGCCATTAAGCCACCGTGTCCCTCTAGCTTTGTATATCAAATGTTTTTTTAAAAATCCAGATCATTATTTGGTTTACTATTTATAATTCTCTTTTGATTTTAAAAGCATCCACCAATTTTTTGGTATGTCTAATAAACTTCAATTTCCATATCATTCCTTTAGCCAATCAAAAGAGAAAAGCCAACCATTTGCTTTAAAATGAAATTTAAACATAAAGTTGGAAGATCAACTTTCAACACAACCTGAAAGAAGGAAAAATAATATGAATTCTTAGAGATTATACAGCAGGGAGGCTAGTAGAAGGCCAAACATAGGAACATCTACAAACCATCTTTTATTGATTTCATTAGTCCAGAAATGCTACACCATCCATGTTTCTGCTATTGTCCCCTGCCCTTTCTCATAATAGTAAAGGAAATCTTTGAAAACCAATGTTTCATTGGGTGAGCCATATGTATATCTAGCAGTGTAATAAGAGTAACCTTCAAGATGGTTTCAGAGACCCCACAAAGGACTGTTCCAAGATCCATGCATTGACTGGCAACTAACCTTGTTTTTCAAATTCTTCAAAGAGGTTCAGGCTGGTAATGCTGGGGCCAGTGAAGATGATACAGTTTTTCCCTGTGACATTCTGACAAAGACTCTTGGCCACTATGCTGTGAAGCTGAGCTTTGTTCTTCAAAGCATCCAGACCTTCAGTTCCACTGCTTTCTTTCAGATGGGCATAGATCTAATCATCAAACAAGAAACAGGGTGAATTGACAGAGAACAGCAAGGGGAAAAATGTTAACATACAAAGAGATGTATGACATGTTATTGATCAACGCTTTCCCTCCTGGCACCCTCCTTGGATGTGAACTTTTATAATTTCCAATCTTGTTTATTTCCCAGTTGACCATGATTGCTGGTAGTGGGGTAAGATGAGATTTCAATTGCATAGTCCTTTCCCAATAGTTTGTCAGTTTTCTTCTCTCAATACCACCAGAGAAACTATGTTCCCAGTTTCATTAGAGGAAAGGTCACAATTTCACCCCTCAAGATCCCTGACAAGGAGCAAGATTTCAAACTTATCTCTTGGACACAGCCTTTCCAATCATTTTACTCTAGAATCCACCTGTAGAGTCAATAGAGTTTTAGAGTTTTTTTAGAGTTTTATTTGGCATTTATAGGCCGCCCTTTTCCCTGAGGGGACTCAGGGCGGCTTACAACTCGTGGGAGGGAGTGCAAGACAAAACAAAAAATGTGAATAAAAAATAAAATAAAACAGTAAAACATAACATTCATTCAGCA